CCACTGGGAGACGATCCAATGGCCAGGCAGCGAGTGCATGAATTCTAACTTCTGCGAATTCATGATATAGCGTGATAACTTCGCAATGGGGCGAATGTTCCTATTGAGGCAGTTAACCTGGGATTCTAGTTAGAAGCCATGACCAGTTGGATACAGCAGGTTGAAGGTGAGGCAGTAACTCATCAAAGAAGACATTGCGAAGTGGTTGCGCTATTTAATGAATTGGCAGAAGTTAGAACTGATGCACTGGTCATTGGATCGGATCCCAGTGGCTGAATGGTGTACCAACTAGCTCGCCTTGTTACCAGAAGGTCCTGGTGAGATGGGAGCGTACTGATGGTGAGTTCCAAACTAGGACGAAACAGCTCTCCAGTACTTCCAGGTGGTTTCCCAAAGGTTCTTTAACTGATTTTTGTTTGATTATTGAATATTCATGGAAATTGTGATAAGTACAAGAAAAAATTTGATTTCAGTTTGGACTTTGTCATGAAGTCAAATCATTTGAAGAGATCATTGAACAGCTCCTAGGTGTAGACGCTGATAAAATGCACTTTGTGGAGTTGCAGTCTTCGAATGTTTGGCATGTGATTCTCTCCTACTGTCAAATGTAAAATGGTGCTACATGGAAAGCCTGATTAGCTAGCTGTCTTTGATCATAGGTGTCTGCGTTGTATCTCCCATGTGCTATGTGGCAAGGGTAACAGGGTGAGCAATATTGATGCCAGGTGTCGAGTGGTAGTTAAGGAGCGAAAATCACTTGACGAGATTGTGAAGTTACATCGATGGAGATGGTTAGGACATGTGTTACGCTTTCCCAGACATCGCCTTCCTCAACAACAGGCAATGTTAGCTGACACAGGATCGATCAGGCTGGAAAAGAGCTGGCCTATGGTGGTCAAACTAGAACATGGCTTCATCAGTCAATGAAATCCACAGCAGTTAGTTTAAGCCAGCCAGCCAATTAGGGAGTTGTAGACTGGCTGGTTTAGGTCCTCAGGATGGTAAGAACAAATGAAGGCTGATGACAATTGGCGGATTATATGGCTCAAAATCGTCGTTGTTAATGGCTGACGCAGATGTAATCACTCTTTGTGATTTGTCATATCTTCCAATAAAAACTCACTCACACTTCTGTTTGTAATCTCTCTCTACTCTCTTCTCTTCCCTTGTGCGTTATAAGGATGCAGTGTGGCAACTCGAATTAGTGCACATCCACGCAACTTTCTATGGTGAAACTAGTATTACATTCAGTATGTGCACATCTCTTTAGTCCCAATCTTCACGTCGTTGATAGCTACTGAGTCCATACCCTGAAGCTGTACTGACAGGTCTTAGCCACTAGGGTTCACCATTTAATGGTGAAGTGGACGCCTATCGGACCCATTGGTTGAGGGCATCATTATATCACTAATTAGCAGTAGTTAGATTTCACTACTCAATTAGTTGAATGGTCAACCAGTCTTGTCTCGTAAACTAAGCGTCCCAGTTTCGCTTCCTGATGAGAGTTCCTAAGTGAAGACGTAACATTTGTTCACCTTCCTTGCTTTTCAATTATTTCCAAAGGATTTTAGTCTGTGAGAAAATATACATGGCAACCAGTGCAAACTCATTATTTGGGTAGAAAACATACTGTTGTACTCATATACTACTTAAATATGGGTAATAAGTAGTGCACGTTTATTTACGAAAGTATCATCTTATGTTTGTCAGATGTTGAATATGAATTTAAATGTGTTACCTATAATATGATAAGATCTTAGGATTCACTGAGTAGTGTTTGAACTCTTAATTATTGCTTATTCTGAAGTCATCATATATTGTTGTAGTTGTTTTATTTCAGTTGTAGGGTTGATTGTTGCGAAGCTTTCTCTGTCTATTTCTACACAACATTATTTCAGAGTATACTTCAACGAGTTGACTAGCTACCTTTTCTGCTCAGACTGAATTTGATTGGTTGTTTCTGGGTTTGTTTTCCTCAGCCTTTATTATCACTTATTAGTGTTATTATTCCCTTGGGTTCCAAGTGAAACTTAGGGCTTCAACTGATATAAGAATAAAACTTAGGCACTGTGGTAGAGTGTAATTCCATTATGGGTAAATTTTTATTTTGATAGAGTCTCACAGTGTTATACAGTAATATTTAATGATGACGTTTCGAGCACAAACTATTGCTCATAATCATATCAAGTTACTCACACAACTTCTTTCCTTCATTTATATACATGTGTGGAATCGACTAGATATTGGAATAAAATTCAATATGAGATAATGTACATTCAGAAATAATAGTACGAGTGTTATTAATCCATTGCAATTAGGTGGGAAATACGACGAGTGTTTTTATAGTCATAATAAGTTGATTGTTAGAATGTGTTTGAATGGAAATAGATTATTTATTATCCTCTTCTGATTTGACTGGTGGCAATAATACGAGTGTTATTAATCCATTGCAATTAGATGGGAAATACGACGAGTGTTTTTTACAGTCATAATAAGTTAATTGTTAGAATGTTATGATGTGCTTGAATGGGAATAGAATTTAAAGACTATTTATCATCTTCTGATTTGACTGGCGGCAATAATATCTTCCATATATCTGGTATTATATTACTGTATAACACTGTGAGACTCTATCAAAATAAAAATTTACCCATAATAGGGCTTCAACTGCTGATCTCCACGTTACACTGTGGCCTGCAGTCCTCCTTAGCTAACTCCCCTATTGCCCATAGGCCTTCATCACCTCATCACATGGTCTTCCCCGTGTCATCCTCGCTCCACTGCCTAACCCATTGTTTCCTTCGAAGGCCTGGCGTGTGATGTCGCTTAACAGTCTCCTGAGATGATGATATTAGATGGTTGGAGGCAATCGGCCACAGGAAGCCTTGGACCTAGGTTTCGTGCTAGTTGACACTCCTACAGGAGGCCAGTCGCGAGCCCGAATAGCTGACTCAGTGGTAATGTCTCTGACTGCATCACTGGGTGCCATGGGTTCGAATATCGGAAGGAACATGGGTTCCTTCAAGGTTGAACATACGCCTTGCTGACTGGTGAACGCCAACTAACACGAAACCTATGTCCAGGTAAGGCTTTCTGTGACTGACTGCCTCCAATCATCTAATATCATCAAATCAATGTTAACCGTGATGTCAAACTACCTAGAATGGTGACTACATTACAACCTGACTGATAGGATTCAGTCTGCACCAAAGAAAAGACTAGACATGTCACACTAGGTACTTGTGTCCAATCAAAAAAGTCTCCTGAGTGTATGTTCAATTCACTTCAATTTCCCTCGGAATATTTTGTTGAGCAACAGGTTCTTGATTGGTTCTTTCCAGGAGTTCCCTGTTACTTATCTTTTCTGACCGACCCCCTGATCTTCAGTATCGCAGGGAAATAGATGTTTATGAAGGTCTACAACTTCTTGGAAATATTTCTCGTGACGCACCAAGACTCTGAACCATATAAAAGTGCGGACTGATTTGACATTAATGTTGAAAATCCAAATCTTGGCCTTTATGTTGATCACAGCAGATTTTTACACTGATTTCAGATAAATGAAGGTTTCTTATTCTTTTTGGATGTTGCCTTTGACATAATCCATACTGAAAATGATCCCTGTGGAAAGAGATGAACCTTCCATTTTGGATAAAATTTTATTTTGATAAATTTACTCAATGTGTTATGCAGTAATATTTACCGATAACCGCATTCGGAGCACAATTTATTGCTCATAATTATGCATGAGTAAAAATTGATGATTAGACGTTTGAATAAAATCAATGTAAGATAAATAAACTTGTTAGGATGTTATAATGTGAATTGAAATACACTTTAACATTATTTATTGTCCTCTGATTTGATTGATGGTAATAATATCTTCCACGCATATCTCTGGTATTTGCATTGAGTCTTTTCTGTTGCATGTGTTGGGTGTAGACTCGATGAACCAGGCAGGATTCAGTAATCAATCTGTTTTTATCTCCATCCACCTATATTACTTCTTAGAATTTTGAACTTGTCCCACCCACCCTATTTCGTGATTGTATTTTAGTGCATGCAGTGCAATGTAGTGCTAAGATTTTTGCTAAATTACTTATCTTCGCGGGTGGGGTCAACCACTCTTACCTTAGCTAATGTTCTTATGTTCTGATAATCTCACTACTCCTGATCTACTAGTTTGACCTATGTAGTTGACTTAACTCACAGTCATTGCAAAGTGTTTTGTGAATTATACTATTTTGTTGAATTGGGTCCACTGGGTCCTTTAACGTACAGAGTTTGTCTCTGAATGAGTTTTTAGGCTTAAATTCCACTATCCTAATTCCTGCTTTATTGAGAATCCTACGTAGGGTCTCAGATGTCCCCTCGTTATAGGATAAAACTGGGTTTTTTTCCTTCACCTTCCCCAGTGGAACATAGGGCTTCAAGCTAGTGGCTTGAAGTTTCTGTAGCAGTGTTTATTTTACAGGATGGGGTTGCTAGCCTCATGCCCAACCTTTCCTGTTTACAAGCATTATTTCTGGCTCAGCGAGGTAAAGGAGTGCGTCCGACTTCCTGAGTGGCTGGTTGTGGTCCTCGCGACGGTAAAAATCAATGAAGGCTGCAGACAATTGGTGGATTATATGACTCGAAATCGTTCTCAGTGATGGCTGGTGCAGATGCATCCACTCCTTGTGACTTATAATTTCTAATGAAACTATATTGTTCTTCGATATTACTATTCTTTTTACTTTCTCTTGCTTTGTGTGCTACGTAGAGTCGAGTGTGGCGACTCGAAATGCTGCACACTGGTGCAAAGTTCTATGTTGAAACCAGACAGATTGACAGACCAACAGACCTTCTCGGAGTATTTGTTGAAATACTTTTCAACTACACTTGTGTTGTATGACCTTTGAAATATGCTAAATTCTGTCTTAAAACTATTTGTGAATCGCTTATTTCATTTAATTATTTATTTCATATACATTTCTGAATTTACTTTTGTTTTTCTATAGTTGATATAAATGAAAAAAGTTATGAATTTCTGCGTAATCTTATTCAAGCCATTGAAAAAAATGGTAAGTCAGTTTTGAAGTAGCTCTCTATCTGGGTTTTACCTTACTCGGTAACCCGAGTTAAAATTTGTCAGTACAGTCTGAATAATTTTAGTAACCATGGCAACTGACAATTGATTGGCAGAAAACTTACCAACTACGCCTCATACGATCTGGAGTTCAATTCCCAGCCGACTTACTCCTGAACACCACTTAGTCCAGGGTAAAGAGAGAAGGTTGGGCATGAGGCTGTCAAATACACCGCATAAGTAATCACTACCTCTACTGAAACGTCGAAAGACCTTGGGGCGCCATATTCTTCTCGGGATGTAAGGAATGAGAAAAAGGAGAGATAGAAAACTTGTTAATTGATGGTTCATCTAGAATTTTCAATTAAAAGTGTAGTTAAAGGTAGTTATTGTTTAGAGAATAACCATTTTTCAGTACAAATAAATAGGATTGGTGAAATATTTAAATAAAAGAGCACAAAAACTAAGTAGTATCAAGGAAAATATAAGACAGTAAGTGAGGCATATAAGAGAAGCTTTGAAACTTAATAATTGCGCCGATAAATTATTCAGAGCGTATGTAGGGAAATGTAAAAATAAAATAAATAATGATGATAGTAGTGATGGTGATAATAATAATAATAATAATAATGACGACATGCCTGTAAAACATGCGCAGGATAATGACAACACCAACAATAAGGAATCTAAATCATCAGTAGTAATTACATGCAAAGAAGGAATTTCAGAAACCTTACGCAGAATTCTTAACAAGGCGGGAATAAAAGTGGCATTCAATCACCCACAAACTCAATTAGAAACATGCTTTGTCGGTCAAAGCGTCCTGTGGAGCCTTTGAAATAAAACAATTGATATGATTATGAACAATAAATTTTGTTCGAAACGTCATCCAGTAAATAATACTGTGTCACTGTGTGATATACCTAATAAACAAACTAATATGGAAACAATTTAGTTTATCTAATACCCTGCCTGAAATCATTGTCAGGCCAAATAAATAGGTCAGACTAGTAGAACAGGGGCAGTCAGACTAGCTGAGCATAAAAACCTAACAAAATCCAGATTGGTTGACCAGAATAAGATAAGAAATCTAGAGAATAGTTCAGCTGTAGCAAGCACTACATGCAATTACACACAACCATACAATAGGCTGGATGGGGTAAGATGACATTTTTAAGATCTAATGTAACAAGGTGAATGGAGGGAGAGATTGATAATGGAAGCTTTGTTTATCGAATCAACTGAGAGAGAATACGTGTAATAGGAATGATTCAACACCTGTCCAGTCGGACATGTGGAAAATTCTACTACTACACCAACGGCGACAAATAGGAAAGAATAAAGAAAACTATAAAACTCAAGTTTCGTAGTCATGTTATTATAATTGATTAAATGATTATGAACAATAAATTGTGTTCGAAACTTTGTCATCGAGTAAATAATACTGTTTCACTGTGTGATATACCTAATAAACAAACTAATACGGAATTACTAACTACCACAGTGCCCAAGTTTCACACATATACAAATAAATTACCTCAAACTACCGATGTATTAACACTGGAGGTATGAATCAGAGAATAATCTCGTTGACTTAGAATATGCAGATGGTATAGTCCTCCCTCAAGGGTGACGACGCTGACAGAATACATCAGATTCTTCTGAACACTTTGGGCTGCAATCCGCGAGTTTTTGGCACGCGATTCACTCATGAAAAATGTAAGACGATGCTACAGGATTGAACTACATTGACTCCTAGCTTGGAAATAGGGAGTGAATTGGTTGGTGGAGCGTGTTCGCCACCACTTCACTTATTTGGGGAGTTGCATCAGTCCCAACGGGTTGGTCGCTGACGAAAACGCTTCACGGATACAGAAGGCTCGTTTCACATTTGCCAGTATACGCCATCTCTGGCGTAGATGTGATATTCGTCCTCCTTTACGGCTGTGGGTGAGACATGGCGATTGAATGTGGAAGACATGAAAAGTCTGGCTAGCTAAATGTCTTCGATCATAGTTGCCTGGATTCTATCTCCCCTTTGTTAGGTGGTAGGTGTAATAGGGTGAGCAATATTGAGGTTAGTCTTCGGTCGAGTGGTAGGTGAGGAGGGGAAATCAATAGACGAGGCTGTGAAGTTACATCGATTGTGAGATGGTTAGGACATGTGTTACGCATTCCTGGCCATCGCCTTTCTCGACGAGCAATGTTAGCTGACATAGGATCAATCAGACTGGAAAAGAGCCAGCTAGTAGTGGTTAAAACAAAACATGGTTTTATCAGTCAATAAAATCCACAACAGTTAGTTTAAGTCACGTAGGAAGAGATAGACTTCTTGGTTGGGGTCCTCGGGACGGTAAATATCAATGCCTGGAGACGATTGGTGGGTAATATGGCTCAACAGTCCGCTCCGTCCTCCTTTATGGCTGTGAGACCTGGCCATTGAGAGCAGAAGACATGAAAAGATTAGCTGTGTTCGATCATAGGCGTCTGCGTTCTATTTCCCGCGTGAAGTGGTATAATAAGGTGAGCAATATTGAGGTTAGGCGTCGAGTGCTAGCTAGATAAGGAGGGGAAATCAATCGATGAGACTGTGAAATTACATCGACTGAGATGGTTAGGACATGTGTTACGTATGCCTAGTCATCGCCTTCCTCGACGGGCAATGTTAGCTGATATAGGGCCAGGCTGGAAAAGAGCTAGCGGCGGTCAAACCAAAACATGGCACCAGTCAATAAAATCCACAACAGTTAGTCTAAGTCACGTAGGAAGATGTAGACTTCCTGGTTGGGGTCCTCGGGACGGTAAAAACCAATGAAGGTTGGAAACAATTGGTGACATGGCTCAAAATCGTTCTCAGTGGCGCAGATGCATCCACTCCTTGTGACTTATGATTTCCGATGAAACTGTTTTGTTCTTCGTTATTACTACTCCTTTGTCTCACACCTCAACTTACTATCTATATTAAGCATTTCTCCTACTTTCTTCTCTTGCTTTGTGTGCTACATGGAGTGTGGCGACTTGAACTGCCGCACATCAGTGCAAAGTTCTATGTCGAAAACAGACAGGCAGACAGACAGACAGACAATATGGCCCAAAATCGTTCTCGATGATGGCGCAGATGCATCCACTCCTTGTGGCTTATAATACCCAGTGAAAACTATAGGGTTCCTCCATATTACTATTCTTTTTGCTTCATATCTCTGTTTATTATCTCTGTTTTGCATTTCTTTTTACTCTCTTCTCTTGCTTTTTGTACTAAGTGAAGTGTGGCGACTTGAACTGCTGTACATCGGCGCAAACCAGTCAGTTAGTCAGTCAGTCATAGTGGCATTTTTGTCCCTAGGTTGAGCGTGAACTTCAAGCCGCTATACAGAGGAAGCTGACTGACTCACATATATGAGTTAAAAATCTTCTATATGGAATTAGAAACCTTCTAATGTATACTTGATTGTTAATGAAGGCTTTAATTGTATATATGCTGTTTACAATTTATTTTACTTTTTAGGTATTCAGACTGAAGGGATATACAGGACGTGTGGAGTGAAGTCTAAAGTTTCTGGACTAATTAAACAAGCTTTGTGTAAGTCTTTTCTTTTAACGTAGTCTTGATGACTTTTGGTATAAATATGTATATATCGTCAGAAACATAGGAGTAGTTACTTTCACTGGACCCTAGTAACCAGTGTCCTACGAAAGTGTGCAATACAGTCACTCCTACAGGAAGTCAATCGCGAGCCCGAATAGCTCAATGGTAACGTCTCTGACTGCAGCACACACTGAGTGACGTGGGTTCGAATCTCAGAGGGGATATGAGTTCCATCAACGTTAGAGATACAGCTTGCTGACTGGTGAGTGCCTACTAGCACGAGTGCCCACTAGCTTCTATGTGTTTAAGAGACTTGGGACGTCGTCACTCAGATTATTTCCAATAGACGAATACAGACTTACATCAACAGCGAGCTAACTTCATTCCATACTGATTTTCAGATGGCCAACAAAAAAGGCATCAGCAACAGGGAATTCTAGCAACGAGTCAACCAAGAACCTCCTGGTTGAGCAAGTTAGCGGAATGAAATGAAGATGGACAGGGCAAACACACACACTGAAAAGACCGCAGAGTGACATCTTACCTCAGGCCATTGATCTAGTTGTAGCCAGAATGGTAAACGGTGGTTTCGTGGTTTCGAGGGTGACAGAGAGGAGATTGTGTGAGGAGGCGATAACAGCTTTATGGGCGATCGTGGCGTCATCTAAGGAGGACTTCAGAGAACAGTATCAAGTGGAGATCTGCTGTTGAAGCCCCATGCTTCACTCGGAACCCAAGGGAATAATAACAATAATGATCAATAATAAAGTGTGAGGAAAAGAAATCCAGAAACAATCAACCACATTCAATCTGATCAGAAAAAATAGCCAGTAAACTCGTTGAAGTATGCTCTGAAATGATGTTGTGTAGAAATAGACAGAGAAAGCTTCTCAACGATTAACCCTCGAGCTCAAAGAACACAACTACACCAATATATGAGGACATCAGAATACACAGTAATTAAGAGGTCAAACACTACTCAGTGAATCCTAAGATCTTATCAAATCATATGCAACACATTCAAATTCATATTCAACATCTGACAAACATAAGATGATATTTTCGTAAATAAACGTGCACTACTTATTACCCACATTTAAGTAGTATATGAGTACAACAGTATTTTTTCTTCCCAAATAATGAGTTTGGACTGGTTTCCATGTATATTTCCTGAAAAACTAAAATCCATTGGAAATAATTGAAAAGCAAGGATCGTGAACCAATGTTTTGTTCTCACATGGGAATTCTCATCAGCAAGTGAAAGTGGAACCTTTAGTTTACGAGACATGACTGGTTGACCATTCATTCAACCAATTGAGTCGTGAATTCTAACTTCTGTTAATTCGTGCAATAATGATGCCCTCAACCAAAGTGTTCGATAGGCGTCCACTTCACCATTAAATGGTGAACCCTAATGGCTAAGAATTCCCAGTACAGCTTCAAGATATCGACCCAGTGGCCATCAAATGACCTGAAGATTGGGACTTAACAGATGTTGACAAACTGAATGTATGACTAGTTTCACCATAGAACGTTGCACATTACATTCCTCATACCTGTAAATCAAGTAGGTGATGGGAGAAATGAAATTCCTACAGACGTCGAAGAGTGTTGTAGAGGAAAGCCTGAGAAAAAAAGAGAGCAAATTACTGGAATTACTGACTGTTTCGAATATAATCAAAAGCTCACACTAATAAGATTAGAACTTCAAGTTTGACCACGGATTGATATCAGTCAGAGAAGCGACCATTGAAAACCATGGAGTACTGGGTGGACAGCTGTTTCGTCCTAATTCGGGACTCATCTTCGGTATACACCCATTGGGTTTCGAACCCCAGGACCGTCCAGTTAGAAGAAAAGCTCGTATACCATTGAGCCACTGGGACTCGACTCAGTGGCCAGTCCATGAATTCTAACTCCTACCAATGGGTGATTTCAGCGCAGCTGTCACCAACAAATGTCATCCATGGCGAGTACGATTCCTTACTCCCAACCTAGTAGACCCCACTGGTCATAACTTCTAACTAGACCTCCTGGCAACTTCTTCCTGTAGCCAATCACTAGCTACATTTGTAAAAAATTATATTTGTAAAATCTCAGCGATACTGAAATGAGTAATTCCAACGTTTCGTTCGACAATCTGGTCCGAACTTCTTCAGGGAAATTAATCGAAATTAACATAACAGAGGTTTATATATAGGAGGAATATCTGTTGTTTTTGAAACTTTGTCCAATCATGAGTCATAAAACAGGCATCAACATGTATAATGAACAAAATTGTATGATTATGTATAAGAGTACACCTCTTGTTTTAAATTGTTTATCCTGTCATATGAATCAAGAAACAGCTATCAATAGGTATAATAAACAAAACAAAACTTTTGTTAAAATATATGTGTATATGCAGTATCAATGGTGTGTGTGTGTGTGCTTCTGTGTGCGGGGGGGGGGTGAACAGTCATAAAACATTTGTTATTCTCATATGAGCTGTGATCAAGATTTGACCGGATAGTTGCAAAATAATTGAGATGTTTTTTACGAATATAATATAATTTTATAAATTTGTTATTCTCTCCATAAGAAGACGTAGACAATCGGGAATTTGATCGAGTGTGACTGGTTGTTGAAACATATCCAATTTATTTATTAGTCAGGATTTGCCATGCTTCAGCTAAGATCACATCTTCACGTCTGTTCAAACTGTTGGGATTCACCTATATATGTAGGGCTTCTGCAGTCAGTCTTTCTTTATATGAACCAAAACCTTTCTGTAGAACCTTAGTCTTATCAAAGTCGATTTTGTTTCCCGTTTCTATCGAATGCAGTGCAATCGCTGAGTTGTTTTCTAACTTCTTCAAGTCTGCAGAGGTCTTTGGAGCCACCTTTAGACATTGTTTATGCTCTTTCATTCTTATATTTACTTGTCTGGAAGTTTCTCCTACATATACAGAGAGTCAAAGTCCCCACAATTGATCTGGTATACACAATTCTGCTGGTTATCTTGTTCTATTTTATCCTTAACCTGCACCAATGATGAGCGTAAGGTGTTAGTTCGGACCAGATTGCCGAACTAAACGTTGGAATTACTTATTTCAACTTCGCTGAGATTTTACAAATATGATTTTTTACAAATGTCTACTTCTCACTCGGCGCTCAATTATTTTGCAACTATCCGGTCAAATCTTGATCGCAGTTCACATGAATCACTAGCTACCATCAGATTAATTCTCAATAGTTTGTTTTTAGGGATTTGATTTGTTTGAAGTCTGAAGCTAGGATGAAAAAGCTATGGAGTACTCCCTGGCTTTCAATGGTCGGTCTTCTGAATGATATCAATTCGTAATCCCTACAAACAAACTCTTGAAGGTTAGGATTTATCGGCCGGTTGTGTCCACCAAGTTGAGTGTAAAGCTTAATGCTGGTCAATGACATTGTCTGGCGATAGCGCTATAGATAACGATGGATTAGGGAATGTTATAATTCATGGACAGTTGTGCCACATCCAGGTACCTCAATGCTGATTTGCTGATGTAGTGGAGGTCCTGGATGCTTACCGCCGAATTGTTCCAAGGTACGACGAAACAGTGGTGCCATATAACTTGATAGGAGAAAGAATAACAGGAAAGAGAATAAAGAGTATTCAATGAATTGTAGAACATCACAAAGAATGATTTTGATACATGTCACTAACAGTCTTTACAGACTGGTTCTTTGAAGTGGGTGGGGTTGAAGGGAGAGGGGCTGATACAACTCTCCAAATAAGCAAAATGGAAAACTCAGCCATTTCACTCCCTATCTTTAAACTCGGAGTCGGTAACCATGTAAGTACAGAAGACAAGGGCCAGGCAACAGATCGTTTATTGAGAAAATCAAGAGATACTTATAGATTTTTGTGTACATTATTGTCAGCGAAGAAGCAAAGTCTTCTGATCGGTTGTCTCCTTGCTAAAGGTTATTCTGTACTGCTTGTGACCGTTTCTCAGAAAGTTAAGCCGTATATCTGCGAATCGTATTTGCACACGTTAAGTGTGCTGTGATTGGTTGGTAATTTTCTCGAGGTTAAGCGTTGTTCTTGTTTTTCTTATGACCCTGATTCGGGAGGTAAACATTGACGTAAATTGTTGTTTACAATTTTTGGCTTGCAGCCAGCTCTCACCACAACCAGACCAGTCCTGCAGCATTATCTTATATTTGCTAGGAGGAAATTGCATGCCAAACAATCGAGGATTCCTGCCCCTCAAGGTGTTCAGAATACTGTGCATTTTATCAGCGTCTTCAACAATGAAAGCAGAATTGTCTGCACACGCTAAGTCAATCCTTTAATCGCTAAATTCAATTAGAATCATATCCACTGATGAACCCTTAATGCAAATAAATAAAAATGGAGATATTAAGTACCTACGATAAGCCATTCTCAGTAAAAAAGATGGTGGTGTTCCCAGATAGACACGAGACCAGCACCCTGTGTTCACAACGTCAAATCGTCATCCACTAAGCCACTGGGTCTCCAGAACCATTCTTTGTGCGCCGATTACCTGTTGCTATCTTTTACCTACTTTGGAAGCATCGTTTCAATTACAGGCGGATGGAACTGACGAGGATATCAAAGCAAGAATCGGAAAAGCAAGACAAGCTTTCACTACTCTCAAGCCTGTGTGGAAGTCAACAGCACTCAGCATGAAAAATAACATCCGGATTTTCAACTCCAATGTGAAGTCAGTGCTACTTACTATACGGATCGGAGACTTGGCGCGTCATGAAGACAGCCTCAAACAAACTACAGACCTTCGTCAACAGCTGTCTTCGCTCAATACTACCCAAGATCAGATGGCCAGAAAAGATCAGCAACAAAGATCTCTGAGGGCAAACCAACTCAGCAGGAACCAATTGTGCAATAAATAAGCAGGAAGAAATGTAGATGGATTAGCCATACTCTGAGGAAACCATCAAGTGACATCACTAGACAAGCCATTGCTCGAGTGGAATCCGAACGGGAAGTGGCGAGTTGGTCGTCAGTTTGAGGGTGACTTGGAGGAGGTCATGTGAAGAGGAGATGAAAACGTGTGGGCAGACTTGGAGCCAAGTGAAGACTCTCGCAGAGAACCGAACGTAATGGAGACGCACGGCTGAAGCCCTATGTTCCTTTAGGAACTAAAGGAAACAATAATAATAATAATCTGTTTAAGTTATTTTTTCTGTGTACTATTGATTTCTCTGTTGACATGTTGTTCTAAGAAATTGTATCTTTTTAAATCACGACACAGTTAATTCGTATTTTCAATATCTTCTTATCTCTCTTTCCCTTCCATACATATGAATAAATAGCTTCGACGGGTACATCGAAGACAACTTTGTTAAATTATGAATTATGCGTTCTGACTGGTGCATTGAAACATTTCATTCGACAGTTGGAAACACCAATTATGACATTTCAATTACACGATTCATTTATGTCTGCAATGAGTAAGTTATTGAAAGTGTATGTCTAATGCAATTATTTCTGTTTCCACCCTTTATTTAATGTGATTTTTATATACAGTCTGTCCATGACACTCTGGAAACATCCTTGAAGGGCGTTCATGGAGATGCTAGTGTAGATCTGCTCCCTGGAGAAAGACATGTTTCTACCTCTAGTATGCAGGCGATATCATTTTACTGTGCCGTAGTAAGGAGGCTGTTCAAATAGCACTTAATCAATTGGCAGTCAATATCTATAGGTATGGTATTTCCTTTGCGCTGTCTAAGTTGGTAGGAGCCTGTACCTGCTGTCACCGTTGCAGATGAACCGCTTGAAGTTGTCGACAAGTTCGTGTATCTAGGTTATCATTTGTGAGTGCCGGTGGAGTTACGACGAATGAAATCTCTAACCGATATGTGCGGACTTGCGCCACCTCTGATGCCTTTGTGACGTCAGCCTAGCTGTCAAAGGTTGAATTCACAATGCTTCAGTGCTCTTAGTCTTGCTCCACGCCTATGAAACTTGGTCTTCCCTAGCTGAGGATGTGCGGCGACTCTGTGGATTAATCATGACTGCCTCTGTATGCGATCGATGGTATCATTGCGTAGTTAATTCTAAGGTCCGGTAATTTGTGTTTGGACACTTTGGCAGTGTGCACCCATCGACCGAATGAAGGACAGTCAGGTTACGTGCCGAATACATCCGCCATTCGCCAATGGGTTAGCATCCAGTAACGCATTAGTTCCGATTTCTATCCATCTTCGATATAGTGCCATTGCCAGGCAATTTCATGTGTTAGCATTCGTCTTCTCACCCTATTTGGTGAACCTAATCGATCACATAACTCAAAAAGCATATTTTCCTTGATAGTTTTGTTATGTCAGTCGGTGGTTCAGCGGTAAAGTGCTTGCCAGCCATGCACGTGTTCTGGGGTTCGAGTATCGGCCGGTGCACACGGTTTCTTCCTCTAGCCTGTAATAATCCTGACAATGAGGGAGGGAAGGTGGGGCATGAGGGTAGCAACCCCACCCCGTAAAAATAAATACCACTGCTACTGAAACCTCAAACCTCCCGAGGTTCCACTGGGAACGAAAAGGAATAAAATAAACTAATAATAAAAATAATAAATCAAATGCCAATGAAAACAATTTTGAACTCCACACCTTCGGAAATTTGTAACTCGGGTGGTGTTTTTTATGTGACACTCTGACCTGAATGGACGACTTACAAAGCGTTGATCATGCTTCTATACAACATCTTCATTGCTACCTGCATACTTATACTTTTTCTTGGTGTTTTCTCCGCTTTATACTTACAGTAGAAGTTGTGATATATTTGTTATTCTGTTTGTGGCGCTTCACTTGCATTCAAGTGTACTGTAGGTAATGCACCCAAGACTTATGATGAAATTCCTTCTTCAAGATTCCAGTGGTATTCACTACTGAAAACACATCCAGGTTAGATCTTGAAGTGACATCGGTTAAATAATCATTGTGAATCAGGATAGTTTTTTCGTCCTTGTTCGGGACTCTTCAGTAGTACTCCACCGGAGATGGAGTTTAGGACCTTCAGGTTACGAGGTGAGCCCTTTGGACACCCATTCACTGTTGTCAGTTTGCTGTCTAGCTGAAAAGCCAGGGAGCACTGGACTGCTGTTTCGTTCTAGTTTGAGGTTCGAACCCAGGACCTTCCGGTTACAAGTCAAGCTTATAGATCATTCAGACTCGACTCACTTCGTGATTTCAGCGCGACTGACACCAGCCAATGTCATCCGTGGCGAGTGTTTGTCCTCACTCCCGTCCTAGTGGACCCCACTGGTCATAACTTCGCACTAGAACTCCTGGAAACTGCGTCCTGTGTAGCCAGTCACTAGCGAGTCAAATCCTTGTAAAGTAACTCTTGAAAACATGTCAAAGTATTGCTTAATAGTAATAAAAAGTGGAATAAGATCTCTAGGTGTCATAAATAATATTTTTTATTTTTTATTATTATATTCTTCACTTTCAGAACGTGATCATGCCTATCGATTATCAGAACTTAGTGCATTATTGAAGCTGTTACCACCAGAAAATCAAAGAATTTTAGACTTACTCATTGGACATTTATCAAGGTTTGTTTAAGTGATCATGTATTGCGCTTAATTTTTAAACTATTTTGTTAATCCTTTTTGTCCTGTGTGATTTGAAAGTAAAATTAGAAAGCCATCGAAAAAGAGGATTGAAATAATAATGGAGAAGATTTGTAGCTCTGATGGGTGTTTTTGATGTAGTTGTGTTCTCTAAGTTGGTTTATTTAATTGAGCAGCTTTCACACTGTTCCACTCTTTACTTGAATGTGGTGTAAACACTGAAAATGTTGTAGAACTGTGATTTATTGGTCTAGCTGCTCAACTTCCAACCAGTAGGCCATCGATTCAAACGTCACCATACTTACTGAGAGGTCTTTCCAGGCAGCCATGGGCAGTATAACCAGCTTTCAGTGCCAACTGCATGGAATTATTAATTACAATTATTATTATTCAGTCTACACCAAAGGTAGAACTAGACACATTACACTAGTTACTGACTAGTGTTCGATCAAAAATGAATGGGTCCTAGTGGGAACTGGTGATCAGTAGAGCGCAGCAGGTTGGATGTGAGCACGAACACTCGCCACCGATGACCTTTGCTAGCGGTCGCGCTATGTCGTGAATTGGCAGAAGTGGGAATCCATGGGCTGACCATTGGATTGGGTCTCAGTGGCTTAATGGTCTATGAGCCAGCTCGCCTTGTAACCAGAAGGTGCTGGGTTCGAAACCTGGCGGTGAGTACGGGTACGGCCACAAACAGATGACAGAATAACTCTCAGCAAGAAAACAACCAATCAGAAGAGGCTGCTTTTCTGCTAACAATAACGCTGATAATAATGTACATAAAAATCTATAAATATCTGTTGATTTTCTCAGTAGACGATCTGTTGCCTGACCCTTGTCTTCTGTCGTTACAAATGAGTAATACTGAAGTTAAGCGTCGACTGCTAGCTAAGGAGGGAAAATCAATCGACGAGGTTGTGAAGGTACATCCATTGAGGCTTTGGTTAAGATATGTGTTACACTTGCCATGCCTAGCCATCGCCTTCCTCTACAACGGGCAATGTTATCTAGATCAGCACGAGGTGGTCAAACCAAAACATGACTTCGTCAGTCAGTGAAATCCATAACAACAGTTAGTTTAGACCATCAGCCAACCACTTAGGGTGGTGTAGACTGGCTGTCGGACTACCAGGTTGGGGTCCTCGGGATGGCAAGAACCAATTAAGGCCGGAGGCAATTGGCTCAAAATCTTCGTGATTTGTGATATCCAGTAAACATCTATGGTTCTTCCATATTACCATTCTTCTTCGCCCACCCACACTTCTGTTTATTATCTCCCTCTCTCTTTGGAATTTCTCTTTACTCTCTTCTCATACTGTGTGTTCTACATGGACGGAAAGTGGCAACTGAAACTGCTGCGTATCTGTGCAAAGTTCTATGTTTAATGCAGCCAGCCATTAGATGTTCAGCGAGCTCGTATTACTATTTGAATTCCCTAGAATCAACCCCGAGCAGTGAGATCCTGTGCGAGTCCTTCTGAAGAATCCCAAAAAAGGACGAAACAGCTCTCTAGTATTCCTTGCTGAATTTTTCCTTCAACCAATTATTATTTATTATTTTCTTTTCTTTTCTTTCTGCCCATTCCCACAGAGTTGCCTCGAACAGTCATTTGAATCATATGAATCCAAGTAATTTGGGCATTGTGTTCGCACCATCATTATTTCGTTCACGTGAAGAATCTGTAGCAGCGATTATGTCGACGAAATTTGCTTCCACCGCTGTCGAATTGATGATTGTCAACTATGCAAGTCTATTTCCTATTCACTCGTCTAATATAATAGCACCGGTGCATAATTCAACTTCATCAATGACTACACCGAATGGAACATCTACTACTTCTACTACATATACTACTAACAACTATTGTCCTGTGAGTAGTAGTAGTAGTGTGTTGACAACAACCAGTCAGTGTTGCAGTCATGCAATAGCGAATGGTGAAAATATCATAGAACCTGTTTATACTACCCCAGTTATTGGTAACGGTCATTTACCCAGTAAGTAGCCATTTAAATTGATAAACTTTATCTGTTTTGTATTTTGACGTCATCGTTCATTCTCATCTTCAATATTCAATGTTCAGACATCTTGGAAAAAAACTAAAATAATTGAGCAAAGAATATTCTTTTCGAGAATTTCCTCTTCTGGCTCTACAATTATATATGTATATATACGTAGAATATTCTAGAATAGTAGTCAATAACTATATTAGTATGACTTTTAAATAATATCAATTTGTTAAGTAAGATCACAATAGAATAACAGTTCATTAAAGATGAATAAATTACCTTGACGCGCTTTTCGATTAGCACGCTACATTTACTCAGTTACACAGTTGTGCGATAACGTTGCATGCCAAGTAATCCACAACAGGGAAACTTACGGAATCCTTCGAAGAAGTGAAGACAGGAGTAAGACAAGGCTGCCTACTATTATCGCCAATGATTTTCCTGATTGCAGTAGATTGGATAATGTGACAGAGAGTTGAGGGCAGCGAGGAAAGAGGCATGAAATGGACCCACACACAAAAACACTTGGAGGATATGAACTTCTCCGGTGATGGTATATGTCTGATTTCTCACAAACTGGGAGGTATGCAAGTGAAAAGTAACAAGTTGGCGATAGAAGAAGCATCCAGAGAAGATAGGACTTCAGGAGAACATAGAAAAAACAGAGGTGATGAAGATTCCTGGCCAACAACACCAACAGCAACAACAACAGACAACAATCAGCCAGCATGAATGGGAGGAACCTGAAAGAAACAACCTCCTTTAACTACCTACCTGGGAAGCATCGTTTCAACTACAGGCGGAACTGACGAGGATATCAAAGCGAGGATCGGGAATGCAAATCAAGCTTTCACTACTCTCAAGTTTGTATGGAGGTCAACATCACTCAGAATGAAAAATAAGATCCGGATTTTCAACTCCAGTGTGAAGTCAGTGCTACTATACGAATCAGAGACTTGGTGCCGCGCCGCCTCAGGAAGGCCACTTCGGACAAACTACAGACCTTCATCAACAGTTGTCTTCGCTCCATACTACTCAAGAGCAGATAGTCGGCCAGAAAAGATCAGCAATAGTAAGAAATCTCTGGGAGCAAACCAATCAGGAACCGATTGTACAACAATTAAGCAGGAAGAAATGGAGATGGATTGACCATGCTCTGAGGAAACCATCAAGTGACATAAATAGACAAGCCCTCGAGTGGAACCCAAAAGGGAAGTAGCGAGTTAGTTGGTCGTCATTGTGAGGGTGACATGGAGGAGGTCATGTGAAGAGGAGATGAAAGCATGTGGGCAGACTTGGAGCCAGGTGAAAACTCTAGCAGAGAACCGAACGCAATGGAGACGTGCAGCTGAAGCCCTATATTCCTCCAGGAACTAAAGGAAACAATAATAATAAATAATAAATTATAATAATAAGTATAAAATATAATAGCAAATAGAATATCAACTAAAATTAAGGAAATTTCCACATCAACAAATCGAGGATCATTCAAACCTAGATGGCCAAGCGGGTAAGGACAATGTCTGAACTAGCTTCTTTTGGACACATAAATTAGGCTTCTTAATGTGGATCCCAACAGCTAGCCTCAGCAATATGTGTAGTAAATGAACTCTTAAGGCGAAGTTAAGATTTGTTGGTTGGTATGCGGTAAATGACTTTGAAAGCCGCCTCGTTAACATCAATCTTGTGTTCTCTATCCACAAGATGAGATAGAATAGCGTAAACATTGAGAAGACTGAAACAACAAGGTTTATGTATCACTAAAACCCACTGGAACGTTCACACCACGATAATATGACTCGCCTAAAGTGCACAAAAATGGTGTACCACTTCGACAAGCAGTATTAGATATGTTAAATTCACCATACCATCCCTTAGCCAAACGGTTAGTCGAACTCTTACAAGCAGTTCCTAAAATGGCCTTATTCTTGCAAATTCAGTTCCTCGGGGACAACAGCAAACAATCAGAGACCTACGCTTTTTTGTAAAAGCCCTCTTGTGTACAACAGCAGCAATTATTATTATTAACCACATTCATCTCTAAGTATATTGCAATCTGTTGTAAAGTACAACTAGCTCACATTTTGTTTTGCCGCCTAACCCTAAAATTTCTCAAGTTGATTGGCGAACGTATCGATATCAAGTTAGATGTCATAATCAGTGCAACTGAATTTTAATCTTTTTTTTCTTCTTAGTTTGAATGCTTTCATTCAAAGTGATAAATTACTTGCACCTATTGCATGCTTCATATTTTGCCCAACTAACCTCGAATTTACACATATTTTTTTAAAACGTATGTACATTCAATTCATGTAGATCAATTATTGCATAGGTACGTTCTGCTTATGGGGGCTTATGCTTACACATTTGTGTGTCCACTTCACCACTGCATGTTTTAATCATTATGAGCTTTTCGTGTATCTATATACATATATATGTGTGTATTTTCTGCTTTTTATCATGGAAGGCGCATGTTTTCCTAAAACATCCTTGTCATTATTTCTGTGTATGTGGCTTTTGCTTTCAAAACGCTTCTGAAACAGGCTTGATCACGAGCTGACATCATTTAGAGAACCACTGGAAGACCAGCAAGGAGTATTGGACAGATGTTTTGTCCCAGCTTGGGGCTCTTCAGTAGAGCCCATCCTCCTGCGTTCGAACCCAAGACTCTCTGGTTGTAGTACGAGCTCGTAGGCCATTGAGCTATTGGGTTCCGATACAATGGCTCATGAATTCCAACTCCTGCTTATTCGTGATATTTGGGGCAACCTCCCGCTGATGACATAAGGCGAGTAGCTGTTCTGGCAAATTTAAACTTTCGATACCAGTAACAACCAATCAGCAAACGACCTTGAACGGACCAATCACATGAAAGAGGCGTTTATGATAAGCGGAAACGTATATTTATAGAAAAATTCATAAAAAATAATGATAAAACGGTTACAATGGGTATCTTTCCCAAACATGGGAGAGAAACATTTCCCAATTCAGCATGGGACTGTCAATAGAGAAGTCGCACCACATTCTATACATATATTCATCTAAATGACTATAAATGAGATCCTTTTGAGATCCATTTATAGCCCTTATTCTATTTTTCAATCGACCCCAAAATCCTTCAATGGAATTTGTATGAGTCCCTGTAACTGGATCCACGAAATCACTGGAGTGGTTCACTCTGTGATGAATGTATCCCAGGGATGACAATGAATCATAGCCTTTCCACTCGTCGGTATGTACAATTGATCCCGGTTTCACAAGTTGCTTTATAATAGGTACCAGAGTAGTCGCCTTCCTGTCTGCTATTCCTTCAACAAATCCTTTTCGGAGGGACGTGTCGTATAAACCTATGACCCAAATGTTGTTCGCTCTCTGACGACCGCGGTTATATTTCTTCTTCACCAACACTGTCTCATCCACATGGACTACTACGTCGTCCCCGCCTAACAACGAAGTAATTCTGTCCATTTTCCATGAGGCGATGTCTCTGCAGTGCTGGTATACCAGTGGTATACCACTGAACTGTTGAGACGAGGCTGTTCTCCGTCTCGGCAGCAGCGGCTCTCACGGGCTGTTTCAGTACCCAGTAATTGCAAATGTACAAAATCTGGGTTAGGGAGAGATGCGACCTAGCAAAAAAATTTCCTACGAAATATTACCCTCTCTAATACTAACTCGCTTCCAGCATATTCCACAACGATGTACAAAACCATCAGTTGACCTAGTATAGCTTTTTAGAGTCATTACACCACCACACGAACAACTTCTCTCCTTTCGAAGCAAGCCTAAGTCCAGGCAATACTGAAAGACACTATCCTCCTCGAATTGCAAACGTAACCTTGTAAGGGCACGCATTGAAATGAATCAAGCGCTATACAACATTGAACTACGTTCGTGAATCTCATTGGATAATTCGACGTCGTTCGCTGATTGGTAGTTATTGGTGTCTAAAGTTTAACTTGGCCGCTATTCTCTTATCTGACTAGTGAACCCTCTAGTTACGGCTTCTCACTAGAACTCCAGGAAGCCTGCTGTATACATCCAATCGCTTTTATATTATCCCATCCCCTTTGTATCAAAAAAACACAATCATATTTAATAATCTTTGGATTAATATTATGTCATCATTGATTTATGTGTTGTGTGTTCATCCCACCTGCCAGAATCACTTATGCATACATTGTATATTTCGTTTATGTGCTTGTTTCATGCATGAATGTTTGGTTAATGATATCACATCGTTAATATTTGAATGTTTCTGCCATACAATTGCTTCCTGTTTGTTTTGTATTCACGCTGTGTTCATGCGCTATTATTGCTTAAATTTCTCTATTTTTATGAATGTGTTTTTCATTGGACCTGGTCAACTAATAGATTAGCTGTTTCGTCTTGGTTCGAGACTCTTCAACAGTACTCACCCATGAACGTTATAAGATACTGAGGTTAATTTATGAATCCAGAGTGTTCAATCCTCATTAACTGACTGATTCAAGTCATCAAACTCCATGTAGCGCATATAGGACGAACTGTAATGAGCGGAATTGTGTGGCGACACCTAATCGATATAGTAGGTGACAAAGAATGGACGATTTTGAGTTATATCACTAATAGTCTCCAGCTAACATCCTAAGGAACACAACCCAGCAGTCTACACGCCTCCTAACTGGCTTAAATCAATTGTTGAAAACTTGATAGATTGATGCTGGGTTTCGCGGTTTTACTACCCAATCGTATATGAGTTGACATTGCGCTTATCGAGGAAGGAAATGTGTCGTGTCTAGTCGCTGATGGGGAGTGGTTTCAGATGCACACTTTTATTATTATTATTGTTCCCTTGGGTTCCTAGTGGAACATAGGGCTTCAACTGCACGTCTCCACTTGCTTCTGTCTTCTGCTGTACTTTTCACCTGCATCCATGTTAGTCCATACTGTTTCAACTCCTCTTCACACGATCTCCTCCATGTCACCCTTGGACGTCCCACTCGCCG